TGAACGATCATATCGCTTCATACGAAAGGAATAAAGTTTTAAATATAAATCACCAGATTATAATTCAACAGTTTGAAGGAATTTTGAACACTTAAATGGTACTGTTTTGTTGTTAGGGTTAAAATACCATCCCTTAAAATATTGTTAATTTTACTTACACTACTCATGAGTAGAATAGAGACTCCATATAATAATTGCTAATCAATGGAGAGATTTATGAATCAGACTTAGGTCGGTCACCTGATTGTTATTTGATACTTCGGCTTATTTTTTTACTATGGACTGATATCAGCTGCAGTAATACTCTAAAAAAATCAAGAATCACTAAAAATCTGTATTGTCTTTTTTTTTGGGGGGGGGGTGGACATTCAGAAGTGTACTTACACATGAATTTGAAATTTGTTGAAATTGTGTTCAATGAATTAGATATGTTGTGTCTTATTGGGATTCAGTACGGCCTACAATGTTATGGGTCTAAGAACGAAAACGACTGAGTCACTATAATACGATAGGTTCTCTTTGGAACTGACAACATACAGCAATACCCAACACATCAAACCTCGATAGTTAACACAGAAAGAAGACAGAATTGCAGGTAAATTGATATTTGTGGTAGGACAAGCAACTCGGAAGAAATTGGCACGAAAGTTGTCAGTATAGTGGCAGAAGATGACTTTCAAGAATGTGGCAATTTAGGGAACTAAGAAACATGACAACTAATTAGAGGCAAAGTCATGCGGAAAATCGAATTGGAAGGAAATGAGCAAGTGGTTGTCATTCCTGAAGAGATTTTAACCTTTCTAATAAAATCTGAGTATTCTTACGACCGCCTTAGCTTCTCTGACTTTTTGGAATTCTTGCACTACTTTTGAATTTGACGGTCTTTGTTCTCTGTCATCCACTTTTTCGTGGTAATAACTTTTATGTAGATTCTTGTGATACTGCATCTGTTCTGCTTTGTATCATTCTTGGTATTTCTTTTGGAATTTTAAAAACGTTCAGGATGGTATTCAAGGTTGTTCTAGTTTTTTCTTGTGGGTCTTCTGCGCAACTGGTTCTTGTGGCGTATTCACCTCTCTCCTTCTACTACCACTTTAAAAATGACTCTTCCTTCCTGACTTATTATTGTCCCTTTTGTCCAAGCTTCTTTATCAGGTCTGTAGTCACGGACGTACACAAATGTTTCGGTCCATTTGAGATATCTTCTTTTTGTCCTTTCTTCTTAGTTGGTTTCATTGCATCATTTACTGTCCGTAGCTTTCGTCCCATTAGAGCTTCGGCCGTTGATTTTTGTTGTGATGCTCTATTGTCAGGTGTACTCCTGTATATGAACAAGAATCGCTAAATGATTTCTTTTAAAGTCCCTTCTTTCAAATATATCCACGAAACGTTCCGCTTTTCCGTTTGATTGTGGATGGTATGATGGAGAGTGAATGTGAACGATAACATTTCGATTGCAAAAACTACTGAATGTGAAATGGGATCCGTTATCCGTAACCAAAGTCTCTGGACGTCCATGGCAAGCAACTACATTCGTTAATACTTTTAACGTTTTCTGCATCGTTGGAGGCACTACTAGATGTGTCTACTAATACTAAGTAGTACAAGGTGGTTTACTTATGAATACTTAATTGTCCTTCTCAACATCATCAGTACAAAATAAATATAGAAATGAACTACTTATTCACTTTTGTATTAATCACTTGAATCTTCCAATTGAATGTGAACATATTGAGTAAGGGAATTCTATACGATAACGATTTGATATGAAAGTCAGTAATTCAATTAATAAGTAGTTAGTGATGGGGTTTTGAACATATTTGTTCGTGTATATATGTGTGTGTGTGACAAAGTAAGTTTGCTGTTTTTGAAAGGCAGGGAAAATTGGAACGAAACTATCACAACTGATTGATCGCTGGGTGGTGATCAATGTCATGCGTGTCTAGTCCTTATTAGTGCAGATCGAATGCTATCGATCATGTTGCAATGTGGCCACCAGTCTAGGTGACTCGACACTGCGGGCACTATATATTGAGATTTAGGTGACCACTGGAGGTAGTTGACAAGAAACCCTGGACCCGGGTGGTGGCCACATCGCAACATGGTCGATAGCATTCGATCTACATTAATAATAAGGACTTGGCACGCATGACATTGATAACCACCCAGTGATCAATCAATTGTGATTACATCTCAGTCCTACGGGAGGTCAGTCGCAGCCCGGATATCTCAATGGTAACATCTCTGACTGTGAAGCTGGGTGACACGAGATCGAATCCGCCAGGGAGCACCAGTTCCCTCAAGATTACAGGCACACCTTGCTGACGAACGCCAAGTAGCATAAAACCCGGTCCAGCGTTTCCTGTCGACTACCTCCAACCACCATCTGAACGAAACTAATTTATAGAAACTTTAATAACAGACTTAGATAGATAGTTACCAAACTTGTGAATTGTAAATAATTATTCAAATTAGATAAATTAATAAATGTACCTTGCACTAAATAATTATTGACTAGCAACCAATATCATATTTGTCTGATCCTTTGTGATAATCGATCATATTTCAATGTAGTTATCAATCTATATGACTCTACATACACTCTATTTTGATATCGGTTGGTAGTTCGAAACAATCGGTTAGTAGTCTAGTATCTAGTTGACATATAACAGTTAAGGATATCTGAAGACTTGAATTAGCCAATAGGATTACATATCAGTCACCGACCAAATAGCTCATTATTAGTATCTCTAACTGTGACAGTAGATGATACAGGTTCGAATCATACAAGTAATATAACTTCCTTTTAATACACAGGATTTCCTGTAGATTATATTAAATCACTTAAGAATAAACATACCTTTTCATTCACTTCCGTATATAATTACGTAAACAGTCAATAATAAGAGTAAATAAAGTCGTAAGATTTGAACGAATCATATAAACAACCTTAAAATCAAACTGTGGATCCGTAAAATGATTACAGTCGATTGGGTGTTCAAGTATAGAACTCCTAACTGCTTTCCTCTCACCCTTATAAAGCCCAACTGGGATGTGTTCCCGTATCCGAGTTGAAAGCGAGCGCTGGCTACGGCCAATGTACCTTGCTCCGGTAGATTAGATTAAATCACTTAGGAATAAACATACCTTTTCATTCTATGTAGATTTGTAAAATCTAAACACAGAAAATTCACTTCCGTATATAACTACGTAAACAATCAATAATAAGAGTAAATAAAGTCGTAATAGTTGAACCATGATTTGTATAATATTTTAGATTATACACAATATATATGTGTATGGTCAATTGGATATGAATGTAAAACATGTAAACAAAGTTTGTAATATTATGTAACTTCATTCACAATAAACAACCTCGCTTTTCCTTTCCACCAGATTGGTACAGCTCAGAGGACACAACAGGTAAGTAGAAAGGCTATAAACGTACAACATACTCGTAGCATACAAGTTTAAACACTGAATCATCAATCCCTGGAACATGTCACCCGAAGCAGCGGTTCATGCTCTCTTAAACAACTCATTAAGGAGAAGACTATACGCTTACAGAAGCATAGTTGAAAAGGCATCACGTAGGCCTTCCGTCCTTACTACATAGAACTGAATCTGATTTATTCATATAAATTTACTATTGCTAAAATATGGCTTATGATCTTCCGGTTTTGACTTTGTAATATCTCCACAGTATTTCAGGTAAGACTAAAGGTGTAACAGCTCAGGTTGGTTGGTTAAGAGTTGACCCCAAACAACCAAGCATATGCCAAAACAGTATTGTTCAAGTATTCATTCACTTCCTTATTTTTCATAAGCGTTATATTCCCTATTATCTTGAATGTTGAGAGCCTTTGTTTGTCTGAACAGATAATCCCATGCTCCACTGCGACTGCGCGAAGATCGAAATAAAGACCTATTCACTACTTCTCTGGTTTCTTCTATCAATAGCACGAGGGTTACCTTAAGGCACGAAAAAGGCACTGGCGATTCCAATATGTTATCACCATCGATTTGTGCGTATTCCCTGTGCATGTGGACACGTTGATTTTCACTTGACGATACGACGAAGTCGACTTAAACAAAATATGAACAGCAAACATCCTAATGTTATATCTATAGTGGTTTCGAGTAGAACCCCTAGTCAGTGGTATAACGAATCAGAGGGAATAGGAAATTTTCCCGAAGCAGTCAGAGGACTAGTTCGCCCAGATTTGGGGCTTGAACAGGCAGAAAATTCAAATTGACTCCAAGATTATCCCAATGAATATGAGGCAAATGAATATTTTTCGTTTGAGTGTTTCGCGGGTGAAACATGCCTAGAGGAATCACATGTGCTAATCACACATATCAATGCATATTTATCCGATAACTGGAAGAGCCTTGTGTATTCTAACGTGAAAAGAGGAATATGTGTCATATTTTCTATGCAAGTTGATGTCACATGATGGAATGCCTCAAATTATATGTCACTTTGTATTCCCAAATACTCACATACATTAATCGGACTGTGAGATATGAGAAGACAATAAAAATCAGGAACGTAAACTTGGTCATGACATTGAGACAAAACGACCTCATATTACATCGTAGGGGAGGATAGTGTTGGAAAGTCCATAGAGGGAATTCTAGATAGCAATTATTTAAGTACACAACCGAAATGCTGACCAAATACAACTCCAGGAACCAGGTGAGTCTGTTCTAAATTCAGTTGTTAGTTCTAACACTAATGAGTATATTCTAGAGTCTAGACCCAATACATAATCGGACAAATATATGAACCTAAGAAGAAGACGTACAACTGATTTCAGAAATTTGGATTCTCAGTTAAGCTATGGTGGATTTGGTGCTTTTATGAACTAATGATTATTTTGTACTTAAACGCACAACTAGCGAACCAAAATTTATTCGACGAGAGCAGGCTACTTTCTCCTGTATAGCGTACAAAGCGCTTTTGAGTTACTCGTATTAAATTATATCAAAACACGAAATCTGGGCTCAATTTAAATGGTTCTAATATAAGAAAAAGAACAAAGTAAATTAAAAAGTCAAAATATCTCAAACGCTACAGCCTGTGTCATACAGTCAAAGATTCCTCTAATGCAAATTAGCGTGCTAAAGAACGATAGAAACAGTTTATACAAAAGAGTTCAATACCTGAGAATCAACAAAAATATTCTCAACATTATGGAATCAGATACCTACGTCCAGGCATTCCGGCAGTCTTTTCAAGCAGACTGTCAGACACTGAACCACGTTTGACCATGGGTTTAGTCAAACATGACATTATTATCAATAGTTCGGCAATATACAACAGAAAAATTAAGCAACAAAAGGTACGTCTTCAGTCAAAGTCACATAATAAAAGCTCAGGCGAGGAAGACAGATGAACACAAAATGTGGTTAAAAGAGATCTGAATAAAGGCTAAAACACATGACAGGGAGAACAAACAAATAAATGACACTACTGTCCAACAAAAAACTCCGCCTGGAGTCCCTCCGGGGGCTACTGCCGGTCCCAAGCCCGGATAAAGAACGATAGTTGGGCATGGGGTTAGCGTCCCCATCCCGTAGAAAACTAACCCGCTAAAAAAACGCTAACCAGAAAAAATTATTCAAACCTTTTAAACTCTGCCCTGAGAGTCAGAAGATCTTCATTTAGAAGAATTATGACGCCTCATGATGAAAGCCGAATTCCTTCGGAAGTTACGAGGCCGATGCCCCTTCTGACAACCAGAGCAACCATTTATTTAGGTACATGGAATGTTCGTACAATGTGGGACACCGGAAGAGCCTTCCAAATTGCTGCAGAAATGAGAAGATACAACCTAGAGGTACTTGGGATCAGTGAAACACATTGGACACAAGTTGGACAACAACGACTAACTACAGGAGAGCTCCTGTTATACTCCGGCCATGAAGAAGAAAATGTACCACATACACAAGGAGTTGCATTGATGCTGTCCAAACAAGCGCAAAATGCACTTATAGGATGGGAATCTCATGGACCAAGGATCATCAAAGCCTCCTTCAAAACAAAGAAAGAGGGCATTTCAATGAACATCATCCAATGCTATGCGCCTACCAACGACTACAATGAAGACGCTAAAGATCAATTCTACAATAGGCTGCAGTCAATCGTCGAGAAGTGCCCAACAAAGGACCTGACCATTCTGATGGGAGATTTCAACGCCAAGGTTGGAACGGACAACACTGGATATGAAGACATCATGGGACGACACGGACTTGGAGAAAGAAACGAAAATGGTGAGAGATTTGCAAATCTATGTGCCTTCAATAAGCTGGTCATAGGCGGCACCGTATTCCCACATAAACGCATACACAAAACCACATGGACTTCACCGGATCACTCTACACAAAACCAAATCGACCATATTTGCATCAACAAAACGTTCAGGAGGACTATAGAGGACGTGAGAACCAAGAGAGGAGCTGATATAGCATCAGATCATCACTTACTGGTCGCCAAGATGAAATTGAAACTCAAGAAGCACTGGACAACGGGGCAGACAGTATCACAAAAGTTCAATACGGCCTTTCTTCAGGATACTAACAAACTCAACAAATTCAAGATAGTCCTCAGCAACAAGTTCCAGGCCTTTCATGATCTACTCAATGGAGAAGGAACTACTGTGGAGAGCAACTGGAAGGGGATCAAAGAGGCAATCACTTCAACATGTCATGAGGTCCTGGGTCACAAGAAGCACCACCACAAGGAATGGATCACTGTTGATACACTGGATAAGATTCAAGAAAGAAGAAACAAGAAGGCAGCGATCAATACCAGCCGAACAAGAGCAGAAAAAGCTAAGGCACAAGCTGAATACACGGAAATAAACAAACAAGTGAAAAGGAGCATCAGAACCGACAAACGTAAATATGTGGAAGATTTAGCAACGACGGCGGAAAAGGCTTCAAGAGAAGGAAACATGAGACAATTGTATGACACGACAAAGAAGCTCTCTGGAAATCGCCGCAAACCAGAACGACCAGTGAAAAGCAAGGAAGGCAAGGTAATCACCCACATTGAAGAGCAACAAAACAGGTGGATAGAACACTTCAAAGAACTCTTGAATCGACCAGCGCCACTGAACCCACCCAACATCGAAGCAGCACCCACGGACCTCCCAATCAATGTTGGCTCACCAACAATTGAAGAAATCAGCATGGCCATCAGGCAAATCAAGAGTGGCAAAGCAGCAGGACCGGACAACATCCCAGCAGAGGCACTAAAAGCAGACGTAGCGGCAACTGCAAGGATACTCCACATTCTCTTCGATAAGATTTGGGATGAGGAACAAGTACCAACAGACTGGAAAGAAGGACTTCTGATCAAAATACCGAAGAAAGGCGATCTCAGCAAGTGTGATAACTACAGAGGCATCACTCTTCTCTCAATACCGGGAAAAGTCTTCAACAGGGTATTGTTAAACAGGATGAAGGACTGCGTAGACGCCCAACTTCGAGACCAACAGGCAGGATTCCGTAAGGATAGATCGTGTACAGACCAAATCGCAACTCTACGGATCATTGTGGAACAATCAATTGAATGGAATTCATCACTCTACATCAACTTCATTGACTACGAAAAGGCATTTGACAGCGTGGACAGAACAACACTATGGAAACTTCTTCGACACTACGGCGTGCCTCAGAAGATAGTCAATATCATACAGAACTCATATGATGGATTACACTGCAAAATTGTGCATGGAGGACAGTTGACAAAGTCGTTCGAAGTGAAGACCGGTGTTAGGCAAGGTTGCTTACTCTCACCGTTTCTCTTTCTCCTGGTGATCGACTGGATCATGAAGACGTCAACGTCTGAAGGAAAGCGCGGGATACAATGGACATCTAAGATGCAGTTGGATGATCTAGACTTCGCAGACGATCTGGCCCTTCTATCCCACACGCAACAACAGATGCAGGAGAAGACAAACAGCGTGGCAGCAGCCTCAGCAGCAATAGGTCTCAACATACACAAAGGGAAAAGCAGGATTCTCCGATACAACACAGCATGCACCAATCCAATCACAATTGACAGAGAAGATTTGGAAGATGTAAAAACCTTTACATATTTGGGCAGCATCATTGATGAACAGGGTGGATCTGATGCAGATGTGAAGGCGCGGATCGGCAAAGCAAGAGCAGCATATTTACAACTGAAGAACATCTGGAGCTCAAAGCAACTGTCAACCAACACCAAGGTCAGGATTTTCAATACAAATGTCAAGACAGTTCTACTGTATGGGGCAGAAACCTGGAGAACTACAAAAGCCATCATCCAGAAAATACAGGTGTTTATTAACAGTTGTCTACGCAAAATACTTCAGATCCATTGGCCGGACACTATTAGCAACAACGTACTGTGGGAGAGAACAAACCAGATCCCAGTGGAGGAAGAAATCAGGAAGAAGCGCTGGAAGTGGATAGGACACACATTGAGGAAAGCACCGAACTGCGTCACAAGACAAGCCCTCACATGGAATCCTGAAGGTCAACGGAAAAGAGGAAGACCAAAGAACACATTACGCCGAGAACTGGAGATAGACATGAGAAAAATGAACAAGAATTGGATGGAACTAGAAAAGAAGGCCCAGGACATAGTGGGTTGGAGAATGCTGGTCAGCGGCCTATGCTCCATTGGGAGTAACAGGCGTAAGTAAGTAAGTAAGTAAGTACTGTCCAACAAAATGCTATGGGGGGATTTTCAACGTCTTTTGTTCGTTACAGAGTTATTCGGTTGCATATCTTACGGAAGTGACTGTACGTTTCTTTGATTGATGCTCTCGAGTCGTCTTTTTCTATCTTCAGTTGAACTCGTGGATTTGATCTACTTCATATCTCTCTTCTATCTGTTAGGGCTGGTCTATAAACAGGCTTTATATATTATTATCAGCAACAAACATTGGCATAATGACCACATAATCACTTCTCCACCCTGATGAAATATATGCTATTTAAATCAAACCACCAGTGAGTGAGGACTGTATCCAGTACGGTAGAAGATTGTTTTAAGTCACACCAGGCGGGATCTCTAATATTCATGACTAGAGCAAGTGAGATTGTGGGTTTCGTTGGTTCACAATTAACCGAGGTAATATTATTCAGTAAATATACTCAAGTTCTTTCATACGTCAGCTTACATCTACAATGTTTGTCTAATCAGTATGTAATTAAAATAACGCGTCCTGAAGCATTAATATAAAAGCTAGGTACAAAGCAATTGATAGCTTAAAGTACGGCTGGTAGCTGTTTTCTAAATTCCATCAGTATATAACGATCGGAATGGGAACTAAGAACACAAAATTGGAAACGGTCACACTTGAACAAATGTTCAATGAATTCACAGAGGTTTGAAATTAAAGTTACAAATATTAAGACTTTGAAATTACAACTATAAATAAGTGGAATGTTACGAGATCAAGTAATCACTTGGCAATACAACAGCCCAAAATGATTGAAAATGAAACTAGTTACTAAGTATTTACAAGTAGTATACAGTAAATAAGAACCTTCGTCTAAATTTGAACGAATAGTTTCACAATATTTGGGCGCCGAGTTAATGTGAGTCATTAAAGAGGAATAATATATACTTGTAAAATCTCAGCGAATGAATTTGAAGTAAATCCAACGTTTCGCTTGGCAATCTGGTTCAAGCTTTTTCAAGGAAAAAATATAATCAAACAACAAAATTATCGAATATAAATAGGTACATGGTTCTTCGGTTTACTGTATACTGAATAAGTCATCCAATCAACAAACAATACTCTAAGATCAAAATTAGTAAGAATCAAAGATCCAATACACAAGAAAGAACAATAGAATTCTGTTTATGAAATCAAATGTAATGACTGTAATGCGACGTATGTAGGTGAAACATCAAGGCAACTGAATGTGAGGGTGAAGGAACACAAACTGTGTTTAGAGCACAAATCAGCGATAGCATTACACTTGATTGAATCGGGTCATACAATTGATTTCAATGGCACGAGAATCATTCAAAAAGGATTTATTTCTTACAAAGAACAGCTAACAGCCGAAGCTCTAAATATATGGGCTAATTCAAACAATATTAATAGGAGAGATGGAATACAACTAGGTGTCCCATGGCAACTAATAATTAATAAGTTAACCTGATCTCCTTTTTGTAATTTGATATATCTATGCCATAGTAACTAATTGATAGACAATACGTTCAATGATTCAAATCCGTTATCTTATCTGAATATGTTAAACAATTGACTGGAACATTAAAAAATAACACACACTTTCAATTACATATACATCCCTCTTTTATTTTTTATTTACTTATCTTATTTATCTCCATCGCATGCAGGCTGTGGCATTTTTGATTCATTTCATATATAAGAATGATCTGTTTTCTTAATATACACAGACCGAAGTCAACATTTAGTTGAATGAAATTTCTTCTTCTCACATCACTGGAGTATAAACACATCCAGTTGTCTTAACACGTTTTTGGTTCCATAATCACATACCTTGTCCTTATGTGTACAGGGACAAGTTTGTCTTAACCTTGAATTTACCTTGTAATCCTTAAGTCATTCTATATGGCCTAGGATAACACGACAATTTTTACCGCGCTAATTTCGAAAAGGGCAGTGATTTTTGTACTTGTTGTGATTATACTTGCTTTTGGTACTTATTGCACTAAAAAGCATTCTTGGTCTACTTTAACTAAGAGTTCTTTGGTTAAAGTTTGAAATTTTTTGCTACATTTTGTCCTGGGTACCTGTTTTTAGTCCTTGACTAACACTTGTGTTCACATTGTTATCATTTTTCGTTTTTAAACCTTTTAAATCAAATTACAATGGTTGGTAAGACTCACAAATGTGGGCAACCAAATTGTTTGTTCTCCGTTGAGGAGGGAATGCAGTGTGACGACTGTAAAAAGTGGTATCACAAAATGTGTACACGACTAAGTCCGACGGCTTACAAAAGATGCTCGAAGCCTAACTCGCATTGGCTTTGTGAGTTCTGCTGTACGGATAAAAAGGTACTAATACAGGAGGCTATGGGCCTATTGGCTTTGGCCTGCAAGAAAAACGATGGCGGAAGCACTGATAACAGGAGTACTGACGATGAAGAATGTGTCAGTGTAGTAAGTGCGGCTACTGGACCCATTAAACACCTGACTGCGGTTGACGGGAACGTGAAATCTCCGTTGACATTAACGAGAAATGAAGTGTCGCCTGATATTGACATCGGCAGTCATACACCTCTAGTCGAAATAGAAGATCCGGATAAAACTGTCACCGTTCCATATAGTCCAGGTGTGGCTGTTCTGAGTGGTGACAAATAGACTTCGGTAAGAAGAAAAAGGCTGTAGGCAAAACGCAGCTGGTCAGCAAGACTTTGGAAGGGATGTTATCAGAAGACGATGACAAAGGTGTCGTCTACGTAGCGAATCCAAATTTTTGGTTTGATCACTGGTAATATCGTGGCTTCTAGTCTTTGCATCACTGCTTCTGCGATCAGTCCTGATATTGATGATCCCATTGGTGTCCCTTTTGTTTGTTCGTAGATTTTGTTGTTGAATTGAAAATATGTTGTTAGGCATAAATCGATGAGTTCCAGTATACTTTTAATTTGAAGCGTCGTGTATTTGGTGAGATTTGTGTCGTTGTTGAGTAGCAGGGATATAGTTTCTTTGCCTTTGGTTCAGTGTCTGAAGATTCTCCTATCTTATGAAAAATGACTGATCTCTCAGAGAGATCTGTCTTTTCACGCGGTGAGGATTTTTCTTCTGATAAAGTCCCTTCCAATGTCTTGCTGACCAGCTGCGTTTTGCCTACAGCCTTTTTCTTCTTATTTTTTTTCTTCTTACCGAAGTCCATTTGTCACCACTCAGAACAGCCACACCTGGACTATGTGGAACGGTGACAGTTTTATCCGGATCTTCTATTTCGACTAGAGGTGTATGACTGCCGATGTCAATATCAGGCGACACTTCATTTCTCGTTAATGTCAACGGAGATTTCACGTTCCCGTCAACCGCAGTCAGGTGTTTAATGGGTCCAGTAGCCGCACTTACTACACTGACACATTCTTCATCGTCAGTACTCCTGTTATCAGTGCTTCCGCCATCGTTTTTCTTGCAGGCCAAAGCCAATAGGCCCATAGCCTCCTGTATTAGTACCTTTTTATCCGTACAGCAGAACTCACAAAGCCAATGCGAGTTAGGCTTCGAGCATCTTTTGTAAGCCGTCGGACTTAGTCGTGTACACATTTTGTGATACCACTTTTTACAGTCGTCACACTGCATTCCCTCCTCAACGGAGAACAAACAATTTGGTTGCCCACATTTGTGAGTCTTACCAACCATTGTAATTTGATTTAAAAGGTTTAAAAACGAAAAATGATAACAATGTGAACACAAGTGTTAGTCAAGGACTAAAAACAGGTACCCAGGACAAAATGTAGCAAAAAATTTCAAACTTTAACCAAAGAACTCTTAGTTAAAGTAGACCAAGAATGCTTTTTAGTGCAATAAGTACCAAAAGCAAGTATAATCACAACAAGTACAAAAATCACTGCCCTTTTCGAAATTAGCGCGGTAAAAATTGTCGTGTTATCCTAGGCCATATAGAATGACTTAAGGATTACAAGGTAAATTCAAGGTTAAGACAAACTTGTCCCTGTACACATAAGGACAAGGTATGTGATTATGGAACCAAAAACGTGTTAAGACAACTGGATGTGTTTATACTCCAGTGATGTGAGAAGAAGAAATTTCATTCAACTAAATGTTGACTTCGGTCTGTGTATATTAAGAAAACAGATCATTCTTATATATGAAATGAATCAAAAATGCCACAGCCTGCATGCGATGGAGATAAATAAGATAAGTAAATAAAAAATAAAAGAGGGATGTATATGTAATTGAAAGTGTGTGTTATTTTTTAATGTTCCAGTCAATTGTTTAACATATTCAGATAAGATAACGGATTTGAATCATTGAACGTATTGTCTATCAATTAGTTACTATGGCATAGATATATCAAATTACAAAAAGGAGATCAGGTTAACTTATTAATTATTAGTTGCCATGGGACAGCTAGTTGTATTCTGTGGAGATAGGTCGGACGAGCTTATCTTGTAAATAGTTTTTAATATTATTTGTATTTGTTTTGTCAATATTTCACTGTATGTACATTTATCATTAAATGACTGTACCTGTTGTTTAAGTAAAATGACCTTGAATACTTTTTCCGTTGTAATTCTGACATAGCGTGACATACTTTCGATGGTTCGCAAATTCACTACTACGCAAATACCCATTGTTCTATTCTCGCTCGTTACCGAGTCAATTGCGTTCTAAACTGGATATTATCCTCATTTTAGACTGCTGTGTCATTTCCATTATATCCTACGTCAAAGAAACTTATTGGCGTCATATTTACCTCTGTAGAATTATTACGCATTTATAATTGTGGATTTATGGGACCAAAACTCAACAGAATACGCAACCACTAGCCGATTTAAGTAACGTCCCTGAACTTTTAATTTGTGTTGTTAATTTATAAATTATTATTGTTACATTAATTTTGGACGTAATAACTTTATCACTGATTTTTGGTTATTATACATTTGGTCCACCACAGTTATTTGGTGAGCCTCGTTTTTTTTTATATAAACAATTACCTTATATATCTGCATATTTTTTTATTATTATTACCTGGCACGACACCATTTTTATTGTTTTTGTCATTATGAACTCTCCGGGTAAACTTATTGATGTTGAAAGTTCACCGACCAACTTTCTAAACTCTCCACAACCAGAGGATAATGCTTTAAACTCGATCAACGCTATCTCAGAGTTAAGATTACCAACGTATTGTATTAATAATCCAAGAATCTGGTTTGCTCAGATTGAAGCTTTATTCATGGCTAGAGGCATAAAATCTCAGGCATCAAAGTATGCATACGTAGTCGGTGCACTTCCTGTTGAGATTGCCGCTGAAGTTGGAGATTTAATCGATCACGTGCCAGATTCCGAACCATATGATAAGATAAAAGCAGAAGTTATTCAACGCACCACGGTCTGAGATGAGAAAAGGCTGCAACAATTGTTAACGTCTTGTGACTTGGGAGATAAAAGACCCTCTCAACTTCTCCGTCACATGAAACAACTCGCCGGTCCATACAAGCTAGACGAAGCCCTCCTAAAGCAAATGTGGTTTCAAAGATTACCACACAGCGTTAGACAAATTCTCAGTGTTTCAGGGAAATCCGTCGCACTTGATGACTTAGCCGATATGGCGGATAAAATGATGGAGGTCTACCATGATAGTCACGGTGTGAACTCATTGCAACCACCTGGACCACTTGATATTAGCTGTTTAGTCTCCTTTCAAAAGCAGTTAACGCATTTAACGAGCCAACTAGCGTCTCTGCAATCAACCATAGCAACCATCCAAGCTAGACAATCGAGATCCCCCTCCAGATGAAGATCTTTTTCTAGACAACGGTCTAGGTCACCGAAGCGAACATCTGATGTTTGTTGGTACCACCAAAAATACGGCACCAAAGCACGGCGTTGTACACGACCGTGCACATTTTCTGCGTCTGACACAGAGAATCAGGGAAACGGCCCGGCCAGACAGTGATGGCGGCGCCTGTTTCTGGCCACTACCCGAGCCGTCTATTTCATATCAGGGATCGAATTTCGGGCTCAGATTTTTTGGTCGATACGGGAGCCGAAATCAGCATTATCCCATTACACCTCTCTCAACGACGGCACCCTCAGAGTACTAAATTGTCTCTAGTCGCAGCCAATAACACAGTCATTAAGACTTATGGCGAACAATCACTTATTTTAAATATCGGTCTCCGGAGACGTTTCACATGGGTTTTCATCGTAGCTGAAATCAAACAACCCATTATCGGGGCCGATTTTCTCGGTGCTTACAACCTACTTGTAGATATGGCAAAAAAGAAACTGATCGACAAAAACACAAGCTTACAGGTCAGTGGCACAACTATCTCCAGTTACGAAATTCATGGAGTCCGTATGTTAAGACCTGAAAACAAAATTTTCACCGATATCCTGTCGAAGTATGAAAGTATAACCAGAGCTGATTACCAAAACGAATGCTCCACACATCATGTCCAACACAGTATTACTACTACAGGACCACTTATCCGCGCCAGGGCGAGAAGACTCCCTCCAAACAAGTTGCAGTTCGCTAAGAGAGAATTCGAACATATGATGCAACTTGGGATAATCAGACAATCTAACAGTCCTTGGGCCTCGCCGCTGCATATGGTCCCCAAGAAAGATCAAGACTGGCGCCCATGTGGAGATTATCGCCGTTTGAATAACCAGACTATCCCAGACCGGTATCCGATACCTCACCTGCATGATTTTTCTTTAAATCTACATGGAAAACAGATTTTTTCAAAGTTAGATTTAGTCCGAGCATACCATCAAATACCGATGGCACCTGGGGATATCGAGAAAACAGCCGTAATCACACCTTTTGGCTTGTTTGAGTTCTTGAGGATGCCTTTCGGACTAAAAAACGCCGCTCAAACCTTCCAGAGATTTATGGACGAAGTAACTAGAGGTTTGGATTTCGTATTTGTCTATATCGACGATGTTTTAATCGCTAGTTCTTCCATTGACGAACATGTTCAGCACCTACACACACTTTTTGAACGTTTCAAAAGTTATGGTGTTGTAATCAACCCTTCGAAGTGTATATTTGGCGCCTCATCTCTGGAATTCCTGGGACACCACATTGATTCCCAAGGAATTAAACCGCTTGAAGAGAAAGTCAAAGCTATCTCCAGCTATCCAGAACCAACCTCAGTAAAATCACTACGTCGTTTTCTCGGAACATGTACTTTTTATCGACGATTTCTACCAAATTGTGCCGATGTACTACAGCCATCGACAGATTTACTAAAAAACGATAAATCCGGTACCAAGAAAGAAAAGAACCAAATATTCAAGTTACCTTCCGATGCCAAAATAGCATTTGAAAAAGCTAAATCCATGATTGCTAATGCTACCATGCTCCAACACCTAAATACTGACCCCACAACACTGTTGATCCTATGCACGGATGCTTTACAAAAAGCCGTCGGGGCAGTATTGCAACAGCGGGTAAACAACACTATTACC